GAAGTCCCGCGGCTTGCTTTTTTTGGGGGGGGGCTGTTTTGTTGTGTTTAACTTTTGTAGGGTCCCGTTTCTTTACATCTAATCCGTTTAAACCTCCACAGCTGAGGGTGGAGAATTCATGGTTTTCACGCGCTGCTGCAGCTTCCTGCTTGATTTAGGACAGGTTAGCAGAGTCCCAGGTGAGCCTGGTGAAGCCCCGTTTCCCCTGGCCACACTGATAGTGCCATTTCCCCTCCACCTCTGAGAGTGTAGTGGCCGCAGCTGAATTCGCTGTGTAGCCCACAGTTCCCCCTGGGTAGCCTCACTATAGCCAGTGTTCGAAGAGTAGGGAATGGTTGTGAGGGTGTGGTAGGGTAGAAAGGCCAGAGGTAGATTGAGGGTACACCGAGCTCACCACACTGGGCGGCCACCCACTCAAAAGCTGGGTGAGCTTATTTATAGGACTTGTCACGACCTCAGAGCGTCTTTGCGCACCTCTGCTATCAAGGAAGGAAAAACATTCCCGGTGGTTTTTCTTAAAGGAGGGCTGCAGTGTGTGACTGACCGGTGGTGTATGGAGACGCTCTATTGGGTAGTGCTTGACAACTTCCCGGTGTCTCAGCTCCCGTGCTGTCTCCTGAAGGGCCAGTCTCTTTCCTGCCCTAAGCAGGCGGTTGCTTTCTTCCTGGGCTCCTGTGCCTGCCTCTTAGCCCTTCCCCTATGATTGCGACTCTGAACACCTTTCAGCCTTTAACCCCAATCTCTAAGGATAAAATGCGTATCTTTGTCAATGTTGGTTTGCATCTCTCTCCAGCCACATACTCCTTCCTTCTCAAGATCACAGCAAAGTTACTAGATTTGGGATGGATGCTTGTGGGAATAAATGAAGGGGTGAAAGGAAGCTGCCATTAGCAACTGTAAGGCAGTGCCTGGCGACCAGGAATCGGGTACCAACCTCTTAATGCAGCAGAGCAACATAAAGCATCTTTTTTTTTCTGGTAGAGTAGGGGCTACCCAGACCCTCCTGCAATGCATCCTGGGATCTGCAGGGGAAACCAAGTCTGGCTGGCAGAAGCAGCCCTCCCTCCCCTCAGAGACCAACCGTGCTTCTGTTAGAATTTCTTCTTCGGGGAGGGAAAGGGTGATATATGAGGCCCAGGAACCACAGACTCTGCTGCAGGCATCTTTGCTCTTGGTAAAGCTCCCATATGGGTTGGGCCTTTAGACCAGTTGCTTACTTCCTCTTCTCATTTATCAAATGTGAGAAAGCCTGGGCTTGCTTGGCTTACTTCTAAAACTTATAGAAAAGTAACAATAGGTGTGTGAGCAGGCTTTTGAGTCCTGCCACATAATACATGGCCAGCAGATGTGCCCACGTGCTCAGAAGGGGCAAGGCCACTGGGAAAGTTCACATTCTCATGGGAAGTGAAAGTGAGTCACATCACCATTTCTGTCATGTGACAGCTGTGGGACACAATCAACTCACTGAGCTTCTGCTTCCTGGTGATAGGGTGACAGGCCAGGTCATGGTTCCTATCTGTAAATTCCACCAATTGGGAGGCTGGAGCCTGCCTGAATTATAATTCGAGACCCTGTCCAATACAAGGAAGCAACTGTTTAGTAACCACTTCCAATGTCACTCACCCTGATCTAGCAGTACCCCTTCCAAGACCCCAGAATTTCAAGATGGCAGCAGCAACTTGATTTGTGTTGAATGGCACTGAGCATTTTAATGGGTTTATGTATGCATATCTCTTATGGATGTTTTTTGGGGAATTACCTTCTGAACATTTTTTGTTTTTGTTACTGAACCTACATTATTTTTCTTTAGAGTATCTCCTTAGGTAGCACTAGTTACTCCATAAGAATCCTTCCTGCCTCAGTCTCACTAGTGCCGAAATTATAGCCATGTATCTCCAGGGCTAGTGGGGGTTGTACACTACCATTCTTTTTTTTTTATTTTGGTTTTTCAAGACAGGGTTTCTCTGTGGCTTTGGAGGCTGTCCTGGAACTAGCTCTTGTAGACCAGGCTGGTCTCGAACTCACAGTGATCCGCCTGCCTCTGCCTCCCAAGTGCTGGGATTAAAGGTGTGCGCCACCAACACCCCGCTAGTCATTCTTTTGGTCACATTTTGGGTGAATTCTATATCTGATACATATTTGTAAATATTCTTTACTCCATATTTTTACATTTTCTTACTGATGCCATTTTTAGGAGCAGATTTTGAAACTCAACTTTTCAATTTTTTTATGGGATGTGACTTCAAATATTTGCTATGTGCATGTGGTGGTATATTCCTGTAACCCCAGTACTTGGGAGGCTGTATCTAGGAGATCAGAAGTTCCAGAGCAACCTGGGCTGCACAGAGTAACCCTGTGTCAAACACAACACAACTAAATGATACTACTCCACACCCTGCCAAAGACAGAACTTTTTGTCTAGTGTGCAGTCGCAAAGATTTTGTCTTATGTTTACTTCTATTCATTATGTGGTTTTATGTTTATGCCTACAGTACAGTTGTTTTCAAATTTTCTTTATTCTTAAGAATGTTATACGTGCGTACAATGTAATATCACATGTAGGCCGACTTTCTCCTCCGAGTTCCCCCACATCGTCCTCAATTGCTCCCCCTACCAACTTCGTATCTTTTCCTTTAGTAGCTTACCAAGTCCAGTTAGCGCTGCCCATATGTATGGATGTGGGGCATCCACTAGAGTGTGGGAAATCTGCTTGGAGCCACCTCCTAGAAGCCAGTGAGTCTTCTTCCCCCAGCAACTATCTACTGCCAGTAGTTTTTTTCAGTAAGAAGCAGAGCCTGGAGGTCACCTACCTCACCTATGACAGAATTCTTTCCTGACTTGATGGTGTCCAGCTCTTGTGCAGATGGCCACAGCTGCTGTGAGCTCATGAGAATGCTAGTCATGCCCAGAAGGCAGTATTTCCCAGCTCTCCTCCCCATCTCCTACCCCTTAAATTCTTTCTGCCTCCTCTTCCTTGATGCTCGCTGCTTGAGTTTCTCTTTATATGGTATGGGATATGGATTGAGTTTATGAATATTTATATACCTTGGATTTCCTGAAAAACATTAAAAATACTACATAATATTTTAAGAAAAGAATATCAAGATAGTGGCAGTTTAATGTTATACTAAGCCTAGAGCCCTCCGAAGCTTGGGCTCTAAGTCACAGTGTAAGTGGCACACCTAGGAGGCCATTCCGGGACAGAATGAGTATATGTATCCCAGCAGTCTGGCTCCAGACTTCTATGTTAATACCCTTTGGCTGCTTGGTAAACATTTGGGAAATTGAAAGTAGGGTAATGCATCCCTAGACTAGAGAACCATGTGGAAATGGAGACATGGGGAGGAATTAGGAGTAAGGAACTCTAGCACCTCCTGGCTGAAGTGTTGCTTAGAGGAAATAGAAGAGCTAGCACATAGAGCTGGCTGCAAAGTCCTTCTTCGTCACGCTTCTTGGGGCAAGAAGTACCGCTAAGTTCAGAAGCAGAGGGTAGCAAGTCAGGGAGGTAGCCCTACAGGGCAGTGTGCAGCAGAGCTGGTTAGAGCAAGGGGCCCTTGGAGTCAGTTGTTAGAAGAGCCTCCCAGGGCTCAATGAAGGAAGAGTGGAGTAAAGAGGAAAATGACACTTGGGCACACACTGGAGGCAAATGAAATTGAGTTTGGCCTCTACTCTGGATATAGTGGATAGGGGAGAAAAGAACAGTTATCATACATACTGCTGGCTTGCATCTTTGTTTGGGAGAACATCAAGCCTGTCTGGGGATATCATCCATGGCATACAGGCTATTACTGGCTATGTCTTCCGCATGGTAATTGCAGTCACAATATTCTGGAAATAAAAAGTCTTTGGGAAGAAAACAAACAAAAAATGAAAAAAACAAAACAAAAAACACCACAGAAAAACCTCCACCAACCTCATGCACACACATACAACACCAATTGAAGTTCCTTAAAAGAACAGATGTTAGTGACCATACACTCAGCCGTTTCTCAATTTGGTTTTCCCCCCAAATATCCCCTTTTGATTTTCAGAGACATAATCAGTGTTCTGCTTCTGTTCCTTGCATATAATTATATCACATAATAGCAATAACAATGGGAAATGCTGACAGAAACAAACAGTGTAATTAAGCAAAACAAAAAGAAGATTAACTTTGCAAATAGCTCCAAGACACTTTTCTCAAACTAGATAGGAGACAAGGGTGTAGAATATGATAAACCCAGCTGCCAGGGTTCAAATCCCAGCACCTACTTACTAGCATGTCCATGATTTGGGGCATGTCGGTAGCAAAGTTTCCTTCATAAAGCATGGGCCATCTCAATCATCATGCCATCTGCGTCTGAAGGTAAGTCAAGCGATGGATGGTTTGACTAGCCTCCAGCATACAATAAGCAGACTGCAAATATCAGTCTTTATCCTATTATCCAAGTTCACTACATTGATCGTGAATGGCAGTTACTTTCAGCAATATCTGTAGATAAAACCATCACATTATTATCAGAAATATTTATCTTTTTCCAAGGTGGATGGAAGACACCGTGAATGTCAATTTGGGTCCAAGTGTTATGACTGCCCTAGAAGCCTGGAAAGATGGGCTCATAGGCTTTCTATACTGCTGTCCATATTCACAAAGAGGATCTCTAGCAGAATGTGGGAAACCTGAGGCCACTCAAAAAGAGCAGTAGACCCATGTCTATATGGCCTTCATTTCAAAGGCTCTCTCTAAATTAACAGGTCTACCCTTCCTAAATGAGGGTTCGAGTCCTGCAGGCTCAGTTAGTTGCTTCATTCTCAGCAAGCATCAGTAATTGTGGGTGGATGCTGGTATTCCCTAGAGACACAGACCAGTGTTAAGACTTAGCCTACCATTGAGGAGGCCCAGCCCAACAGGGAGAGGAGAAGCAAATCAACAACAAATAGCAACAAGGAGACAGCTATTAGCACAGAAGTTGGGGTGTGAGGACTGCTCCATGGTTTTCAATGTTCACTGGACACACACAAACGGGTGTATTTTGTTTTATTAAATTTACCTCAGTCAAAGAGACTATAGGAGTCCACAAGGAAAGGAAGCAACTTGGCCTGTAATCACCTTGTCTGGTACATAGCGGGCCACTTGGGAATACTTTGCAGAATAAGACCACGAGGAGTTCAGAAGTGCAGCAAGGCTAAGATTATGCTTCTCTCTTGGAACCCAGGAGCTTCCTTTCATCCTCCATGCCATCCGGCTGTATAAGACAGGGAAGCAGGGAATTATGGGTCAGAGGTGGGGAGGGAAAATGGCACCCTTCCCTGGTGCCTCACTTGTTTTTTCAGCCTTCTCTCCTCCCCTCCACCACATGAGTCCCGCCCTTACAGCACCGTTCTTTAGCACCCTCTTGGCACCTACTTGGGGGAGGCCTAGAAGTCTGTGGAAACTTCCTTCTACATAAACGGCTGACTGAGAAGGCTGGCTTCGAGATGATGAAACCAAGGAAACCGCAGCCCCTTGCCTGGGGGGGAGGCACCAGCCCAGAACCCTTCTACTGAGCTTGGGACCTATTTCTGGCCTCATTGCTTGCCCAGAGTCCTTGTACAAATCACTTACATATGCCTCATTTCCTTACTTATATTTGAGATGCTGGCTGCCTACAGACACCCTTCTCTGGTTTTGTGGGCCACGGGACAAGAATGAGTTAACAGAAACAAACTAATGAAAAATGAACAAAACCAAATACTCAGATGAATGTGTCCTCATACAGTGGTGCAGCCTGGTCTGGTGCTTCTACTTCGAGAAAGCCCTCACGGAGTACACACACACACACACACACACACACACACACACACACACACACACAACGCGACCCCAGGAACAGGTTCCCCACCTCACTGAAAAGAGGAAGCGGTTCAGCAAATGAAACATTGGGCTCCATTTTACAGGAAGTTATCTAAGGAGTAGCTGATGAAATTAGGATGTCTGAATGGGGTCTAGATGGCTTAAAGAGTGGGTACCAAAGATGCATTCCAGAATGGAGTCATATGCACAGTGGTCCGACAGTTCATTTACTTTAGGATTGTTCAGAGCTACAGATATGACAAAAACCGTTTTCCTGTCCTGTAAGAACACAAGTTCCTTTACTTGCAAAAAATCAGGAAGTCCCCCTCCTTGGGTTGGGCATCTGGGCGGTGTCTTTCACTTCCTTCCAAAGGTATTTTCTTAGTACACCCCAAGCACCAGGGTCACATTCTGTTACATTCACGGGCCTAGCCAACTACTTTTGGGTGCGTTTTGTGGACAGTCTCGTGATCGGGAAAAATGTTTTTAAATGCATGAAAGATGAAGGTTAAATGTAAAACTAATATTTTAAATCAATATAAGAGTAATAATGTGTTTCTGCTGCAAATGTTCAGTTTTATAAGTGGAATCACCACTCCCTTTTCCCAGAAGCAAACTGTTAATAGTTCTTGAGATTCTCTTGTCCTAGGCCAGTGAGGGAGCAAAGATGCTTGGTGCCAAAGCCTGACCACCTGAGTCTGGAACAACTAACCCTGAAAGTTGTAATCCCTGACCTCCACATGTGGTACATGTGCTACACACATACACACACCTACATCTTTGTGGGGGTAGAGGGCTTGCACACATGTGCACGTGGAAGTCAGAAGTTGATGGTTGAGTGTAGTTTCCTCAATTGCTCTCCACTTTAATCCTACAGGAGGGTCTTTCTCTGAACTTGGAGCTTCCTTACTGAGTAGACCCGCTGTCTGGTAAGCTTCTTGTCTCCACCCATCACCTACCCCCAGTAGTCATCAGGACAATTCAAAAGCCCTGGCTTCTACCAGGTTTCCTAAATGAGCCTAGTTCTTCTTGGCCAAGATTTCCCAAACTACTGAGTCTACTTTCCCTATCAGAATAGAGGAAAAAATTCGAGCTGAATCTCCCCAGCTAAAAATGATGTTTCCGAACACCTGTTAGATGTCAGGTTACTGGAAGACCCTTTGAATATATAAAATCTGCAGGTGGGAAGAAAAGAACAAAGGAAGAGCATCTTCCAAGCTCCTCCTCTTCCTGTCCTTCCCCCTCCTCCTCTTCCTGTCCTTCCTCCTCCTGCTCTTCCTCCTCCTCTTCCTGTCCTTCTACTTCTTCTTCCTCCTTTGTATTGTTGCAGTAAGGCCATGCGACATGCTATGCTGAGGAGCGACTCTATGCTGAGCTATAGCAATAGACTTTGTGGTCTACTTTTAAGATAAATGAGATCATTTTGTCCCCAGCTGATCCTGCTGTTGCTTTTAGTCTTGTCTGAAAAGGTCTTCAACAACACCATTACTCAAATGCTGATTTGGAAAAGAAAAGTCTCATGAGAGTGGTTATTATGAGTACATTTTGTAAACATATTTTCAGAGTCAATTTTGCCACGTTTCACCTTTGAATACTTTCTCTTTTGGAGAACACTGGAATGTTGTCCAATTATAGTAGAGTCTTTGTAAGGTGCTGTCTTGGAGTAGCCTTCACTCCCACACAAGGTCTCATTGGTATTGGTGCATGGTGGGGAAAATATTTCGCCACTGTGGAGCTTATAATGAATCCTCTTGGAACTGACAAGCATCATGTAGGAAACAGAGACATTAAAAGTGCAACATCCCTCATGCAGTACTCCTGACCCCAAAGAAAGCACACACATTTAATCACGAGGAAACATCTATTAAGCCTAACTCAAAAGCAATTCCACAAAGCAGCTGTCCTGTTATCAAAAATAGCAGTGCCATGGAAAATCAAGAGAGGCCAAGGAAGTTCCAGATTAAAAGATGTCAACAAGATATGGTAATGAAATGTTATGCATGATCCTGGATTGGAGTCTGGACCAGACAAAAATTGTTGGGAGGACATTATCAGACAAAATTTGAGTATGTCTGTAGATTAGATCACAGTATGGTAGCACAGATAATTTCCTGGCATAGATAATCATACCAGTGTCTATGCTGTGGAATTCCTCTATTGTTAGTAAACACACATCGAGGGCTGGGATGTGGAGTGGTGAAAGGTTTCATAGTCACAACTTATTCTCAAAGAGATTTAAAAAATACACGGGCAGGTAGGTAGATAAAATGGCTGGCGATGTCAAACAGGAAAATATTAAAAATTGGAGGTCCTAGGTGAAGAATACACATACTATCATTAGTTATTTTTAAGGCTGTTCTGTAAGTTTGAAATGATTCCAGATGATTTTGTACATAGTCTGGTAATTCCGATCATGGTTTGTGTTATAAGCAAATGGCAAACCGGGCCTAATGACCCTCAGAAGCCAGACTGAAAAAGCTGCAGACACTAAAGGTGAAAGAAACCAAGTGGCAGAGGGGCAAGATGGCTCCGTGGGTAAAAATACTTGCCACCAAGCCTGATGCCTCAAGTGATGGAACCTGTCCTCTGACCTCCACCTATGCACTGGTTTGTGTGTGCGCACATTCACAAAACAATATGATAAGGATAAAACTGAAGCACCAGCTCTGTCTTGACACATAGTACTTCTTACCCATTTTCATGGGCTATCTCTCTTTTCCCTAGCAGTTTGAGCACTTTTGTGCACAAGAGTGAGAATGCACTGTGCTTTCTTCAATTTCCCCTCTGTACGAAGCCACTTCTCTTTCATATGACTGATATACATTCAGTATCCAGTAGGTACCACACCATGATCTTAACCAACTCAATCCCCAATGGTTGTTTCTCTGTCTCGAAGTGGAAGCCACAGAAACCTATATCCTGAAGGTTGTTTCTGGGTTGCCTCCTTTTTAGTGCTCTTTTTTGTTGCTCGTAACATTTTTGCACCTAGCATTTTTTGTATGTAGTATTATGTAACAGCAGACCAGTTTGAAGTACACAGCTGCCATTAAGTGTACTTCCCATGTTGGAAAGCACCACCTCTACCCAGGTCTAAACCATTTTTATCGCTCCCAAAGTGAGCTCTGTATCCACTAGAAGGTCATTCCCCATTCTTCTAAACACTTAGCTCCTGGCAACCACTGTTACACATATTGTCTCTGGATTTATCTAGTCTGGGTGTTTAATAGAAACAGAATCAGACAATATGTGGTCTATGTAACTAACTTTTTTCACACTGCATAATGTTTTCCAGGTTCTTCTATGTTGAGGTATGGTTTAGCTAGCACTATATCCCTTTTTTGTGACACTGGAAATGGAACACAGGGCCTTGCTTCTATAATTAGCGTTATCACCAGCTCCATTTATTTGAGACAGAGTCAAATACATTATTTATACTGGTCCCTTGAAATCAGTGTGTAATCAAGGATGACTTCAAACTTGAGACCCTCCTATCTTTACCTCCTGAGCACAAGGATTATAGGTATTTGTCATCATGCCTGACATCATATGGCAAGTCAGTGTTTAACATTTGAAGACTAATTTTAATTTTAAACCGTTAGTCTAACCTATGAGCTGAGGTGAAATTTAGGAACTATTGTGTCTGTTGACTTCAATTGCTCATATCATCTTTACCAAGTCAGATCATATAGGCCTGGCTCTAACTGGCACATAACAAAATGGCATAGAAACTCAAATGGTATGTTCTTGCTAATTTCCCTTACAATGGGTAGGATTCATGTTTATACTTTCTACTTTTGATATAAAGTCAATGGGAAGTAAGGGCAGAGATCAGAGAAAATCAGAGATGGGGTCCAGATGCTAGGAAAGGTTTACTCTCTCATTAGCCATACATGCCAGTCAATGTCCATGAACAGACCAGCTGAAAGCTGTGGGTCCTCTTTAGATAGGAAAAAATGACACAGCAAAAGGAAGACAGCTTGTATGTGCACACTATACAAACCCTAGGGACTAGTAGTGACTGCTTAGGTCACCAGTTTCAAGGGTAATGAGGCAGACTGACGCGTTGAATAGAGGGGAAAGGCCGAATGAGCTGTCTTGTGCACACAGCCTGGCTGTTACCATAGTAGAGAATGGGTGAAAGGTGTGGTGGCCCCCAAAACTTCCAAAGCTGACAATCGGAATGGTCATGATGAGACAAGAACCTCCCAGAAGAACAAGTGGAGGTCATGGAGAGAAGTTCCTTTCTCAGAGACATCAAAAGACCAGGATTTCCCAGAGAAGAGGGTGTGTGTTCAAGTGCGTGTGTGTATGAGTGAGTGTGTGACTGTGTGTGCATGTGTATGGATTTGTGTGTGCATGTCTTTACATATCCTTGCACATGTGTTGGATGCTATGTACAAGTGCGACTCAACC